GTTTGGGTCAGCTGTCCTGGCTGTGCCCCCTCCCAGCTTCTTGTGCACCTCCAGCCTTCTCGGTCGGTAGAACATGGGAAGCTGAAAAGTCCTTGACTAGTGTAAGCACTGCTCAGCAACAACTGAAACATCGGTGTGTTATCGACATTGTTCTCATCCTAAATCCAACACACAGCACCGTACCAGCTACTAGGAAGGAAATGAACTCTATCCCTGCCGAAACCAGGACAATCAGATACTTGGAACAAAACTTTACAGCATTAATGTTGGCACCAACTTTTAGTACAGTATTACAAAAACACAAGTTCTGAGTAGAAGACTTTACTGCAATAAATTTAGATTCAGCAGGAAAGATTTTGAATTTGGGCTTTTTTAAATTAAAAAATAAGAATTAGTTTTTGGCAAGAAAGAAACACTCTTAGGTAACTTAAACCTGCTATGCTCCCTTTGCTCCACCTATGCATCCTGCTTGTTCCTTGAGACCTCCTTTTAAGCAATTCCTGGTGTTGAAGTCCTGTGCACGTATGCTAAACGATTCCCTTTCCTCAGTCAAAACCTTCTTCAAAAGGAAAATCTGCTCTAGATTTTTTCACTGATCTAACATAAAAAAACAAGATTTTTTTGCAGAATGCAGAAAATTTGCTTCTACTATAGTAAAATCTCCTCTGGTTTATCAGAATCCTTTCTGCCTGCATTTCAAGGCATAAAATCAATAGTCTGTGATTTATGGTAACAGGAAGGCGTTCAGTGGCATTTTCCAGGAGCTCAGAACTGACAGAGTTGGCTTGAATCCACAGGGCTTCTGAACAAATGTCACTGCATTGTTTCCCACCTTGATGTAGATAAACTACATTCAACATGGAATTGTTCTTAAGCCAAAAACCCTGTTGGACTGAACCAGGTCTTTGCAGAGGCAACTGCAATATCTCTTCACCTTTGACAAAGCTCAAACGGTCCCTAGATACTGAAGATGCAACTACACAGAGACTGTAGGCCATACAGGAAGAAGACCGCTTCCTTCTCCATACACCGTTAGTGCTCAATAAATGCAACACAGGATAGAAATCTCAGATTCAGTGTGTTAAAAAGCCTACTGCATCCCCCAATAAATCTGGCAGACTAGTCAAGGCCCTTTTGGGGAAGCAGCCATGATACTATCTGCATTAAATTAAAACAACTAGGAAAAAGAACAAAAACCCCAAGCAGAAGCACTTAGTGAATGAATCACTAAAATGGCTCTGTGCGGGACATGATGTGACAGCAAAGACGGCTGTTATCACCAGGCCCTGTCCTGTACATAATTATTTATGATATTTGACTAAATCTAAACACAACTTTATAAGCAACCACCACTTTGTGTCAAGTGACATAGGAGAAAGCCGTGATCACAGAGAAGTGTGTTCTTTTTTTGCAGTAAAATGCTTACAGGACAAGACAAGCATGATTAACATGGATAACACTGGTGAAGAACAGCCAACATGCATACAAATTTCAGCAGAAAGATCTTACAGTGCTTTGGTTGGCAACCAGCGGACCTTCAGGCAGGCAAACACTTGCTGCTTACATATTCATAAATTATATAGAAATGGTGTTTTAGAGGAATGCCTGAAACCATCATTTGATAAAAATGCTAGCTTCCTTCTTCATTGGCTAACTGCATGTAGAATTAGCACTAGACTCCCACTTCTTTAATGCAAGTAAAGACGTTAAATTTTGTTTTAAGAATATGAAGCACAGACAGTTTTTCTGTCTTCTGCATGTGTATTAGTACCCTGGCATAATGGACCCTAACCCAGAAAATGACAACCAGGTGCTACATTGCAGTGCAGGAATACATCCAACATCAGAACACTAGCAAGTAGTCACAAGCAGCGGTGGCAGGCTTTAGCTCAATTAAATATTAGTAAATAAAAATCGTACCTTCAAAAGTGCAGGCAGAGTTGTGCTTTCCTTTTGGTTGCTCTTTAAATCTATGGCTTCACTCCCTTTGTTTTCAGAACTGAAAAACAAAGATATTTTGTAACACTGAGGACTTGCATTATTAAAGTCTGCCTAAGAGCCAACACAGTATCATTCAGTTTAAACACAAGAGAGCATTAACTTAAAAGGAGAGAAGAACATGTTTTCCAAACCATAGCCCATATTCTGCACATATTGCAACTGAAAAAGCCATGCCCCAAAAAGCTGAAAATGGAAGCAAAATGCCTGTTTCACCTCATACAGAGGTTTTCAAACTCAAGCATTCAGAAATGGCACACAGCATTTCAGCTCTTCCAGCTGAAAAAACCCCAAGCTTTCTGCGCCTATGTATTATTTTCTGCTGGAAAAATGATACTATAGTTGATCAATCACGTACTCCAGCAGCATTCATTGCCATAGCACTATCTGGCACAACTGGCAGCTAGAAGGCACCCCCAGTCCTTATAATGAGGACTGAGATTGAGTGGAACGTACTCAGGGCAGATGGAATCATCACAAATTGCAGCTACCACATTTAACAGATCTTCACTGAACATACCTAATGGGGGTTTGCAGGCAAACTCAGAAGAAATTTTAGAAACAGGACAACAGGCATGTTGTTATTATGAAGGCAACACCCGCTGTTCCATTTTGAAAGTCAGAAGTCCAAACTCACGTATGGCCTTATTGCCAATTTACGTTGGTCAAAATTTTCTTCAGAGCCCATCTTTGGAATGAAAGGAACCATTCCCCCCGCCCCAATTCTTAAAACAATCCTTAAGCACAATCCAGCAGCAAATATTCTAATCAAAATCTTTATGCTACATGCAACTTAAAAGCAAAAACGTATCAAGGAAAACATTAGAGGATGTTAATGACAGACATCACTTCCTGCATTGCATATCATAAGCTGAAGAAAAATAACTTCGTACCAATATATCATGTAAGAAATGCTCAGTATTGCAATGAAGTCATAATCAATTCAAAAACCCTTCTTCATCAATTTTAGAAATTTAGCTTTGCTCTTGACAAATGCACAAGCCCTTATTTCTGAATTTGTATGAAGAGATGAATTGAAAGCTGTTTAAATAAAAATAAAAAAATAATGATTTGCATTTTGGTGAAATTCTGCTGGGATTTAAAGAAAGGATTTAGATGTTCCAGTACTCCTGCCGCTACTGACTGTTAACCACAGGTAAGCATGTCTCAGTAAAACTTCTGAAAAGAAAGGTTTTCTTCCTATTGTGGATTAGGCATCCAAGTTAAATATACATTGATATACACACAAAATACAGAAGCCAGTCTGACTAAATGTTAGTTTCCCTCTCAGCTGCTCAGAGACAACATTCCCTGACCAAAAATGAGAACAGAACTCTCCTGCAATTAAGTTTTTCAAGATCTTTCAGATACATCAAAATAAAAGCTCCTTCCCCTCTTTTATAGATTCTCCTCAAGTTGAAAACCATGTACTTTCAGATCACCTCAGGTAATCTTTTATAATGCATTCATAAACACAAAGATGCTTTTTCAGAGAGAGCATCAGACAGAAAGTCTTGGCTGTTCTTTGCCTCCCTGTAAGACAGAGCAGATGAATTAATATTCTATCCGATTAATTTCTTCTGCTGTTAATGTGTTTCATGAAGGAGATGTCACAATCACTTCTGAGCAATCTGGCACGCTAACAAAAGTGCTTCTCAGTACATAACCTATTTTCTCCCTCCTAGTTTTTTGGGGGTTTTTTTTTTGGTTTTTTTTTTTTTTTTTTTAAACACACCCTTCTCAGATCTGCATAGCTTTTCCTGATGCTGATACACTTGACAGGAACAGGAATTCCCTGTACTTAAGAGCAGAATAATGAGATTGATCTCCACCAGCTGTTCCTCCTGGCTTCAGGAGATCACTCTTTATGAAACCAGTCTGCGGACCACAAATGAGATCCTTGCTTTCGTTATGTATTGCCAGCACAGATCACCAGCGTCCTATTCTTTTATCACTTTGTTTTCCTCATATTCCCTTCACATCATGTTTTTTCCCAAAACGTTTTTCACTTCCCTACTTGTTTGTATTTGAAATATATGCCTGTATTACTTTCTTCTAGCTAGCCAGGCTTGGACAGATCGCTATGAAATTCCATAGTCTACATACCAAAACTGAAAGAATGCAATTCAGCAGATAAGCATCTTAAAATCAACAAGTAAAAAAAAAAAAAAAAAAGTATCAAAACTTTACTTTCCAGCATAAAATAAACCTAAACCTGAAATAAATTCCCCACACCCTTTCATGGTTTATATTCTAGCGTTTCTACATTTCTGAACCTTTTGCTTTAGGGTGTAGTTCCTCAACATGCTGACTTTATCAGCAGAACCAGCTTTAGAAATTTCCATGCCTTCCTTCTCAACCTCAGCTATCTCTTCCCACCCTTAACTCAGCCGAGCAGGGCTCTCAGTAGGGCCATGGTCTTGGATAAAATCAAGGGGGGAGCAGAAGCTTCCATCAGGAAAAATTCAGCCCATGATCCAGTTTACAGTGCAGTGATTCGTACCAGCACAAATGAAGGGGCAATAAATGCCACTCAACAGGCAGGAACAAGCAAGCACGCACCACTGCAGCTTACTTCACCACTGAAGCTACTTTTTGTGAACCTCTTCTACCCTTAGCCGGGGCCCAGTTTTAAATGGATCTTTGACTGAAACCAAATGACTCACGCTGAATGAATGAAGTTTACAGCACAAAAGCTCGCTTTGCTGGAAACAGGCCTCTTGGATTGTTTAGGATGAAATTGTTTTGTTTCTCCCAAAGAGTCAAGATTACCTTCTACAGTCTAAACACCACAGACACAGTAGCTGCTGCCACACTCGGTACCCAGGAATGGAGAACAGGCTGGTTACTACTCATTGGGCTCAAATGATGCAGCTTATCACTTCCCACTAGTAACCCCCTACAATTTTTAGGGCTTTACCCCCTCTCATCATTGCATCAATCACATAACAGTCACTAATCACAACTTTTGGAACGCTGCACAGTATTTTCCCCACAAATTCCCTGAAGAGGAAAATAAAATAGTAAAGTTCATAGGCCCCCACACAACCCTACACTCCGTTAAAAAAAACACATGGTGAAGCTAATGTAATTATGCCCCACATATTCCTATGTTGCAACGGAAGCCCATGTTGTCCATATAAGTCTATATTCAGAGATGCAGTGAACACAATTATTAAGCTATGGCATTCACAATTAACATTAATTCTTGGGAAATACATAAGACATTTAGTATTTATGCTAAAAATTACCCATTCTTAAATATTTTATATGCCCATGCTATCCTATCATTAGTGGCTAGATGTTATACTTCCAAGAACTGTATTCTAAGGGGATTTATTATTTTTTTTTTCCTACAGGACAATCTCCGCAATTTAATAGTTATACATGTTGACCTGGTAGCTACATGGTGTTACACCACCGAATTCTTACACTTTTACCAAGAACTGAAAACAACAGACTGGTAGCATATACAGGCTCACCATAAAATAAGGATTGCCACCCACCACCCCCACCCCCAATTTGGGCTACATCCATATTATTAAAGTTTGGCTCCACAGAGTTTCATCCTTGCCTTAAGCCTTTCTGGAGTGGTGCATTTTTGGAGTCCTTTGCCACGGCAGGTACTGAGCATGCTACCTCCAGTTCAGCACATCTAAAGTGAGCCTTATGCTTGACCACCCACATGGCTTTGCTAGATCAGCCAGCCAGCTCTCAGAGAGCATTTCAGCACTTGCTAGATTAGGAAGATGAATCTCGTCAGTCTTCAACTCTATGCTTCACAAACTACTGTTGTTACATTATTTACCAAGCAATAGGACTCTACTAACCCAAGTTTTGAATCCACTTTGTACTTGCTTTTAAGAAGTGAAAGAGCAAAGCGTAATCCTAGGAATACAGAAAACACCTCTGCCCTGCTGACTTGCTTCCATGGACTTCCTAACTATACAGGCAGTCATTTACAAATTGTCACAACCACTTGTTTACATATTTAGGCAGATATTACTTTCATTTTATAGAATTAAAAAAAAAAGGGCATGGAAATATTAAATAATGCTCTGAGTAATAAAGACCCTGTCAAAATTAAGACTAGAAACCAAGCCTCTCAACTACTTCTCAAATATGTAATCTACTGCCTTCCTGCTGCTATTTCTGCTAGACATTCCCTTTTCTCTTACGTATTAGTGCATCCAATATGGATGGGTTAATCTTCAGCGAAGGTAGAGGGATCTCTTCTCCTCAACTGTCTTGCCAGCATGACTAACCTGATTAGCATCACTCCTATTCTTTAAATAATCAAGATTAAACTCAAGTTACCAAAGACCCCGTTCTGTATCTTCTGCACAAACCTTTCTTTGTGTGATTTTCTAATGCTTTTTGTTCCCCTGCTGCTGAAAATCTGTTTTGACCTTTCTGTAATACTTGGACAGGTGGCATCTGAATCAGAAACAGATTCGTGGTCCAAGTTTTTAATCATTACACTTATACAGCAGAGGTTAGAGATTCTTATGGGGGAGACAAATGTTCATATTCTGCATTGTTGCTCACAGAAAAAGTAGACATGTGTAAGCAGTACTCAAACGCAGGTCAGTTAATATACCTGAGGGATTACAGTCAAGGAAAAAACCAATTTAATGGAGCAAATTTAAGTACACGGTTTGCGAGATCTTTTCTAACTGTCTCTAAAAACAGAACAATTACAAACAATCACATCTTCAAAAGGCCCTCACGGCATCTCCGTATGGTGCGAGAAGTCTGCTTCCTCCATCCTCGTCCTTCATAATAATCCCTCGGAACTTGCAAATTAAAAGCCCACCCCCTTCTTCCTTTATTAATCTACCCCACCCATGTTATGCACGCAGCAGACTGTGAATGTGTTGTATCAGATAAAAAAAAAAAAAGCTACAGGCAGCATGCAAAAGCACAAACATGCAAGTTTTGATGAGACTGACCAGACGCAGAGCTCACCAAACTGAAAGTAACCGCTGTGACATTTTAGGTTCCTTTTTCAAAAAGGTGGTACAGGCTGCTGATTGCTCTTTGGGAAGGGGGAAATTAATGGGCAGTCTCTTAAGGAAATGGGGACAACTGGCTAAAGCTCAACTCGGACAGCACTGCAACAGCACTTCTGGATGTTGACCCTCCCTCCTTCTCCCGCTGCTTAGAAGCAACGTCTCTTCCAATGCAGCAGCTCCAGCATTCTCTTCTCATGCAGTCCAGACGTTACCAGATGTTACCAGACAGGTGAGTGCTCTATCATTTTGCCATCTCTCTCTCTCTCTTCAGGGACAGATGACTCCCTGAATAGTCAAACCCTCTTTGCTACTGTATTAGGCTAGCATTATTTGTTTTTAACTGGTCTTCTCTTCAGACTAACTCAGAAACCATTTAGCCATTTAATGTGATGACTCATAATGGTAAGAGGATAAGCAGTGCCTAACCCAAAAGATGCTCCACGGTGCCAAGACGCAAAAAGCTTTTACATCTGGCTTTAGTGACATAATGCTAATAAACTAAGCTTGACCCATACATACATCTATCTATCCAGGTTTCATGACATCACTTGTGACATCTCCTTCCCAATATTTTCTAAACAGTTTTCCTCAAGATGATGCGTTTTTTGGGATTGTTGATACTATTCACTCTCCACTGGAGTCATCACTTAGGCTGATGTCATTTTTAGGTTTC